AGGAGAAAAAAAGGAAGCCATCTTTATGGGCATTCTTCAAACTGCGGGCATCTGTTGGAGCAAGGGCAAGTCTCATGGCCAAACTCTGCAGTCCTTTCACAGTGTAACTTCCATGAAAAGCAGGGAGGATTTGGCCAGGGATTTAGTCTTGCAAAAATACATGTGAATAACTTAATTTCTAATTAGTAAGCCTGTTAGGTCTTTTGAGATTAGTTTCTGGGTTCACAGTCTGACTGGGAACTGCTGGAGCCTCCTTTAGTTAAAAAGAAAAAAAAAATAGCAGCTCTGTATATTTCTCTCTAAGAACATATAAATTATACTTCCTTCTATTTATAAAATAAAACCACCCCTCCAGCTGTGTATCTAATCAGTAAACATGGCAGCCCATGTGGCATGACTGATTAATATACCCCTCAGACACAGGGAGCAGCATGAGGCAAGGCAACATGCATTACTCAGCACTTGCCATCCTGCCAGAGCCTTGAGGTATTTTCTACGTGATGGATTCCTGTTGCAGCCAGTGGGAGTTCTTACATTGCTTTACAAAGTTTAAAAAAATACAACCCACACACGCACAAAAAGATTTCTCCACTGTCTTGAGACTGATACTCTGCTTGGCCCCGAAATGAAGTAACGCGTGCTTCCCCTTTGGTGTGCCTGGATCTTACCTTCAAATGTGAGAGTAAATGAATGTGGCGGCCACTCACCTCCTGACCTTTTCCCTCTTGCTGCTACTAAAACCAGCTGTAAAGATAGTTTTTGTAACTGGGAAGCTTAATAGCATACCTGATCCAGTGGTAACAACTTTCTGTGAGTATTAACCTGAGATAGATGGAAGTCAGTCCCCTTGGCAGCTGCTATGGCTTTGTTCTCTCTCTGTGTACATACGTGTGCCCCTGTGCGCTAAAGATGTGGGTGTATGCATTCATGTGAATAATGAGGTACTAAGTATTTGGAACATTAAAGCCTTTCTATGTTTTTTTTTTTTTAATCTTAAAAAGTAATTAACAAGAAAAAACCGTGTCTCCGTTGGTGTCTAGGAGCAGCAAAATGTCATGATGACTACTTCCACTCTGGAGGCATTCCCAGCTCCCCTTTCCCCCTAAGTTTTCCTATTACTCTTTCTTGTGTAGTTTGAAACTTCTTTCATGTTCAGGAATTGGCCTTGGGTATCATTGCCTGCTAAACTCTAATCACAGCTTTTCTGTGTTCAGAAGCTGGTACAAGTTACTCGTTTGGTTTTTTTTTTACCCCCCCTCCCTTTCCTCCCTTACAGACTTGTGGTCTGTAGAACCAGGAATCATAATGGGAGGGGGAATGGCTCAGGGGTCCAGATGCAAACTCTGGAGACTTGAGTAACTGTTTTTCACTGCCACGGATTTCCTGGATCATTTGTGGCAGGTGAGTGAGGCCAAGGATCCTCAGTGGAAGATGTATGTATCTATAGAGCTGTAAGGCTCTAGATGCTGGGATTTTTGTGCCTCCCATATCTGTGTGCCATAGGGTCACCTGAGGTAGGGAGCACGAAGGATTGCAAGGTGATCATTTCATATGGTAACAAGGGCCATAAAAACCTTAGACACAAAGGGTGAGGATGTGGTTAAGGATGGAATTGTAGATATTAACCATGTGGATTTCTGTTTTAGGTGCGTTCTCTTCAAGCTACATTTGGAGAATTTGAATCCATGATGAAAATTGCTCAGCAGAAGCAGGAGGTTACTGAGAAGGCTGTTAAACAAGGGGAGACTGAAATAAACCGGATCAGTGAAGTGCTTCAGAAGCTGCAAAATGAAATTTTGAAAGACTTGTCTGACGGCATCCACATGGTAAAGGATGCAAGGGAACGAGACTTCACATCTCTGGAAAACACAGTGGAAGAGAGGCTAACAGAGCTAACCAAGTCTATAAACGATAACATTGCTGTATTCACTGAAGTCCAGAAAAGGAGCCAAGATGAAATCAACAATATGAAAGCAAAGGTTAATTCACTAGAAGAAGTAGATGTGTACAAACATGAAATTAAGGTGCTAAAAGATGCTTTGGATGAGATGCAAGCATCTATGAAAACCAAAGAAAAGGACATAGAGACCCTGAAGAGTACAATAGACTCCATGGAGTCTGATGTGTATACTGAAGTGAAAGAGCTAGTCAACCTCAAACAAGAACATGAGAAATTCAAAGAGGCTGCGGACACTGAACACCTTTCATTAAAAGCTTTACAAGAGAAAGTTCTAAGAGCTGAGGATTCTATTATGCAGCTTCCTGGTGACATTAAAAGACTTGATGAAGATTTACTGCAAGTTAAAGCAGACCTCCACAAATGGGAAGAAAACGACCTCTTCAGGAAAGCATTAGAAACTTTTGGGAAGAACAGTGAAGGACTGGATTCTCGGTTGAGGCACATAGAAGACAGCCTGGAGTCTCTAACCTCTGTTGCTGCTCAGAACAGTGAAAAGTTGCAATCTTTCCTTTCTAAGGAGGCAGAATACGAGAATAAGCTCAGTACCCTAGAACAAAGCATTACTGCTCTTCAGGGGATCTCAGATATGGACATAACTTCAGTGACAGACGTTCTGAAAAATCTTGGTGAAACACAGACCTCGCTGTACAATGATGTGGAAAACTTGAGGAGAAGCATCATTGACCTGCCATCCTCCGGTGCTCTTCAGGATGTCCAGAAACAAATCAGTACTTTGTTGGATCAAGGAAATCTTCAGGCGGGTCAAGCACATTCTCAAAGCTATCTTGAAAAATTTTCTTCTGTGGAAGGCTCTGTAGATGAACTGAGATCTTCTGTCAGCCAGGTTGATTCTGATTTGAAAATGATAAGGACTGCAGTGGATAGTTTAGTCTCCTACTCGGTGAAAATTGAAAATAATGAGAACAACTTGGAGTCTGTGAAGAGCTCAATAGATGACCTGAGGAATGATCTGGAAAGGTTGTTTGTGAAAGTAGAAAAAATACATGAAAAAGTTTAGGCAGCAGTGCTCCTTGTGCAAATAACGGATCAAGGAGAATAGCTTTTGTATGCCCAGTTTTTTACTCTTTTTAAAAGCAATTTGATACCTCCAAAGAGATTAAGAATACTTTAATAATAGAGACAGTTCTGCTTATTTCCTTTATTTCTCTTTTGTGTAGTGTTTTTGGGTTTTTGTTTACTTCTTTTTTTTTTTTTTAATTTTGTTTTAAGAAAACATGAGTTTAGTTGGGGGTTGAGTTTCTACGGGCTCATCTTCTCTGTAAAGTTGTACCGCTGTAACTGTAGTGGTGTAACTAAGGCACTACAGCCTCGTTAGCATGGGCACATATTTAATGGCATGAAGGTGTTTCACACTATGACACTAGATATCCCACACGGAAGGGCTACAGCTGTTCCTGTATAAAAAGCATACTGCTGTACACACTTGAGAATTTTACTGGTATGTTTTGGTTTAAGAAACAAACAAACAAAACTACATCCCTAATCTTAAACTGTTTAGACCAGTAAATTTAAGTCTGGACGAGGTTTGAAGCAACTCATCCATTCCTGCAGTTTGGGACTCAGCCATGTGGTCAGTTTACCAAGTGTCAGTTGAGGTGTAGTATATTTCTGTGAGTCCTTAATCTGCTCCAGGAACCTAATGAGAGGTTAGTTGAACCCCACAAAGGGAAGGTTTGAGGTATGTGGCATTGCTTGGGGCTAAGACCTAAGAGAGGTGTTCCACCATGTGGCTAGAGAGATTCCTTCTTTGTGATCACAGGCTTCCTTCCCAGCATCTTAAGGTGCTGGTGCAGAAGATCAGTGCTTAAAAGGGACATCTGAAGGATGGGATTAGTTTCAAGAGGGTACGGTAATATTTTTGTTGTATTTTTGGGCTGTTTACGTGATGAGGCTGTGTCTTTCCTGGAAAGGCCTAATTTGTCTGTGATACAGGATTTTATGTAAAAATGGTGATGAATTTGAATGAGGAAAGAGAAGGACTGAAATTGCACCTCTCGTGTTCCATGTATAGCAAGCATGCTAACGATAATAGTACACTCCGAAACACGCAAGGGGGAAAATCACCACGAAATCAGCAGAATTGCTTCTAAGGCATATACATTTCCAAGTTTTCACACAGCTGACAGTGACCTGAATTCTTGTTACATATTCAGGACCTGGTGCCTGATTCTTGTCACCATTGTTGTCACCGGATGCCTCCCTGGGGCATGGATAGCAAGGGATCCTTCTAGGAACAGGTTGAGAGTGAGGAAGAACTGTCATCATTCTCTAGATGTTAATTTAAAAAACACTTCCTCGTGGAACTTGCTTGGTTTTCTGTCTTTTTGGAGAGGATTTCTAATATCCCTTCTTTTCAAGTTTACTTTTGAACTTTATCCAAAGATTTGGTAAAAGGGTCTGTGCACGGACACCTTGGAAATAGGGTGTGTGCATCATCCCCACTTCAGCCTGCACTAGCCAGATCCGTGGCTATGTTAGAAGAATAATTCCTAGAAACAGCACCTCCCACAAGTGGTGTGCTTGTGGGAACAGTTCCGAGTTCACCTCGGTAAATAAGATACTGAACCATATCTAGTGTTGTTCCCACTGTAAACAGGAAAGAATTGCTGGCAAAGAAAGGGACCGACAGCATTAAGGTAACTGTTGTCACTGTTGGAACTGCACTGTTCTTTGTTGACTTCTCAAGTTCTTGAACAATGTTGTTTAGGTTACTGTGAAATGAACTGTATGGCTTATTTGCGGTATTTTTAATACATAATAAACATTTGGAATATTCTTTGCACCTTTTCTTGATTGCCGCTTACTTAACGTTGTGCGTCCCAGAGTGCTTCTAGTGGGATACAGGAAAGGGCTTGAGGGAAGAACACGATGTGACCTGTTCTCAGTTTTCTTAGGGGAACGTGGAGGCAGTTCTATCTGTTGTGGTTACAAAGGAACTCTTGAAAACAGGATTTAAGCCAATTCAATGCAGTGCTACTGACCAGAGTGCACAGAAGTCTGAGATGCGAGGTGTGAAATAGGTGATTTATGCATTGAGGAACACCACATCAGACAGGGCCAGCAATGCCTTAGCAAGACTTTCTGCATGCCAGAAGCACGTCCAACAGAAGTAATACACAGAAAGGACCTATCTAGATAATCTCCTGGCTGCTCCTTTTGGATGGCTTTGAACACTGGATTCCAAGGCCCGTATGCCGATATCCTTCATGAAGGATGCCTGGCTTTCAAAACTTTGGGAAAGGGTGATTTCATTTTGCTTACCCGCAAAGATGACTCCAAGCTTGCCACATAAGCAGCTTTGGAATGGTGAGAGCCAAATCTTATTTTGCCTGTACTGCTTATCGTGTACGTAAAGGAATGTGGGCATCATCATGTCCTGGCAGTTCCTGAGGCCAAATTCATAGGGATAGGTAATTTCTGTTATTAAACGACTACCTGTATGTTTAACAAAACAGGTGAGCACACAGGCCCTTCCATCTAAAAGAGATTTGACATACTCTGTTGACCAGGTTGACCAGAAGCGCATGATGAGCACACAGTGCCTTTAAAGAGCAGTAGCAGCATGATGAGGGAACTTAAAACTGCTCTAGAGCCAGCAGTGCAGCTGGGCCAGATTGGATCTCAAAGATTAAATGAAAAATTACTAGTTACACTTCTAGTAACTTAAATTCCATGGCAAACTATTGGCATTACCTATTTCAGTCAATAAGAATAATAATTCTCTGTAAATAATACAGCTGGAGGCAGACACAGAGGCAAGGATCCCTTGGTGGGCTGGAGGTTCAGCTTTTGTATTTGGCTTGACAGCCTCGTCAGCCACAAATGCTTCCTAATTCCTTCGTAAATGCTCACAGAGCACGTCCAGTCCTAGTGCTGCTCTTTATCATTGTTTTTACACTTTCCAATAAAAGCAGTGGAGAAGATCTCAAGCAAGACATAATCTATGTTGCTAATGTTCTTTTACATTATTAGTAGTTCCTCAGGAACACGCTGTTACAGCAACAAATTTCAGTGGAAACTGTCCACCTGACTGATGAGGCATTGATCAAGCCAGTTCCTTAACGTTTGTCTTCATTTTCAGCTCTCATCTTATAAATGGAGAAGCCATTAGACCAAGGTGCTGTGGACTTGATCACACTTGAAAGGGCTTGCCCCCCTTCCAGTACCTAAAGGGGGCCTACAGGAGAGCTGGGGAAGGACTTTTACAAGGGCATGTAGTGATAGGATGAGGGGAATGGCTTTAAACTGGAAGAGAGCAGGTTTAGATTAGATATTAGGAAAAAATTCTTCACTTTAAGCGTTGTGAGGCACTGGAACAGGTTGCCCAGAGAAGCTGAGGAAGCTCCATCCCTGGAGGAGTTTAAGGCCAGGTTGGATGGGGCTCTGAGTAACCTGGTCTAGTAGGAGGTGTCCCTGCCCATGGCAGGGGGGTTGGAACTCAATGATCTTTAAGGTCCCTTCCAACCTAAACCATTCTATGGTTCTGTAAGTAGCTACATTGGCAAAGGTGGTGGATCAATATTGTGCTGCTGTAGGGACTTCTCCCAGCAGGGCTTCGACCACTGCCTCAAGTGAAATAACCTGTAACAGAGAGAAGAGTTCCTGGTGGCCTAAATGTGTATGTTAGAGATTTTATTAAAAAACAGATTAGTGATTTAACCTTTTTACCATCCTCAGCTGGTAGTGTAAACAAAGCTGCAAAGAAGTCAAACGGCTACAGCAAAAAAGGCTTTCTGAGATGTACAAACACCAGAAGAGCCTAAAACCACGCAACGTGGGCCCTTCCGTTCTACTCAGCGCTGCCAAGGACAGACTCTGCAATTTGGGGCACATCAAGAAAGGTGGGGCTGAGCCGGAGAGACTCGCGCGGGGGGGAAATGAGGATGATCAGAGGTAAAATGTCCTGGGGAAAGAAGAAATTGAACAATGGGGCCCGATGAGGCTTGACAAAAAAACGGAGGCGAGGACTGAAGGGCAAAGAGGAACGAGGGGAATCGCGGACGGTGTCCAGCC